AGGCCATCGCTCTTTGGTTGAAGGCCATCGCTCTTGGAGGCCTCCGCTCTTAGGTTGGAGGCCATCCCACACAGTTTGGAGGCCATCGCCCTCTCTGGAGGACATCGCTCTTAGGTTGGAGGCCATCGCTCTTGGGTTGCAGGCCATCGCTATTAGGTCGGAGGCCATCGCTCTTCGGTTGGAGGCCATCACTCTTAAATTGGAGGCCATCGCTATTAGGTTGGAGGCCATCGCGATTAGGTTGGAGGCCATCGCTATTAGGTTGGAGGCCATCGCTGCTAGGTTGAAGGCCATCGCTCTTAGGTTGGAGGCCATCGCTCTTAGGTTGAAGGCCATCCCTATTAGGTTGAAGGCCATCGCAACTAGGTTGGAGGCCATGGCCATTAGGTTGGAGGCCATCCCTCTTAGGTTGCAGGCCATCGCTATTAGGCTGGAGGCCATCACTCTTACGTTGGAGGCCATCGCTACTAGGTTGGAGGGCATCGCTCTTAGGTTGGAGGCCATCGCTCTTAGGTTGGAGGCCATCGCTCTTAGGTTGGAGGCCATCGCTATTAGGCTGGAGGCCATCGCTATTAGGTTGGAGGCCATCCCTCTTAGGTTGGGGGCCATCGCTATTAGGCTGGAGGCCATCCCTCTTAGGTTGGAGGCCATCGTTATTAGGTTGGAGGCCATCACTCTTAGGTTGGAGGCCATCGCTACTAGGTTGGAGGCCATCGCTCTTGGAGGCCATCGCTGTTAGGTTGGAGGCCATCGCCCTTAGATTGGAGGCCATTGCTCTTAGTTCATCGCTACTAGGTTGGAGGCCATCACTCTTAGGTTGGAGGCCATCGCTACTAGGTTGGAGGCCATCGCTCTTGGAGGCCATCGCTCTCAGGTTGGAGGCCATCACTCTTAGGTTGGAGGCCATCGCCACTAGGTTGGAGGCCATCGCTCTCAGGTTGGAGGCCATCGTTGGAGGCCATCGACTCTTAGGTTGGAGGCCATCGTTATTAGGTTGGAGGCCATCACTCTCAGGTTGGAGGCCATCGCTACTAGGTTGGAGGCCATCACTCTCAGGTTGGAGGCCATCGCTACTAGGTTGGAGGCCATCGTTATTAGGTTGGAGGCCATCACTCTCAGGTTGGAGGCCATTGCTACTAGGTTGGAGGAGGCCATCGTTATTGGGTTGGAGGCCATCGACTCTTAGGTTGGAGGCCATCGTTATTAGGTTGGAGGCCATCACTCTCAGGTTGGGGGCCATCGCTACTAGGTTGGAGGCCATCGTTATTGGCTTGGAGGCCATTGACTCTTAGGTTGGAGGCGGCCATCGTTATTGGGTTGGAGGCCATCACTCTCAGGTTGGAGGCCA